CCTGCTTCTCCCTTTCCCTCTGCCTGCCACTCTGCCTACTTGTGCTATCTCTCTGCCAAATAAATAAAAAAAAAAAAAGAAAAAGAAAAAGAAAAAGAAAAAAAAAGTCACTACATCAAAAACTAATAATGTACTATATGCTGGCTAATTGAACATAATAAAAAAATGTCCAAGATATAATTCAAAATTACTGGACAGGAAAATTTTCCCATATTTACAAGAAAAGGCAATTAAAGGAGACCAAACTCAAGATTACCCAGATGTTGGAATTATCCCATAAGGATTTTAAAGTGACTATTATAAATATGTTCAGTAATGTAAATAAAAATACACTTATGATGAATAGACAAATAGGAAATCTCAGAAGAACATCATCTATAAAAATGGAAATTATAGAACTGAAAATTAAATATCTGAAATAAAACTTAAAAATTCCATATCATAAATAAAATTTCAGTGAATGGGTTTAAAAAGTGAGTGAAGATAGAGTTAGGTTATCCAATTAAAAAAAGAAAACAGGAAAAAGAAAGATTAAAATAGGAATGAATAAAGCCTCAGGGACCTGAGGGATGATATCAAAATGTTTAATGTATATTTAATTGGAATCCAAGAAGGAAAGGAGAGAGAAGACAGAATAGGGAAAAAATTGAAATAAAGTTGAAAAATTTCCAAATTTAGTGAAAACAGAAACTTACACACAAAAGAAGCTCAGTAAATCTCAAGCTGAATAAATGCAAAGAAAATCCATCTAGGCACATCATAGTCAAACTACTAAGAGCCAAAAGTAAAGAGAGAATCTTGAAAGCAGCCAGAGAAAAATGATACAATACATGCAGGGGGAATAACAATACCGATAAATGTGGACTTCTCAATGGAAATAACTGAGGCCAAAAGAAAATGACATGTCATCGTTATAGTGCTGAATGCAAACAAATTAAAGAAAACCCTGTCAGCCCAGAATTCTATATCCAGTGGAAAAATATGATTTTGCTCATATGTGGAATTTAAGAAACAAAACAAACAAGAAAAGGGGGGGGGAGAGAAAGAGAGAGGCAAAGCAAGAAACAGACTCTTAACTACAGAGAACAAACTGATGTTTACCAGAAGGGAGGCGGATGGGGGGGATGCATTAAACAGGTGATGGTTATTAAGGAGTGCGCTTGTTGTGATGAGCACAGAGTGATGTATGGAAGTGTTAAATTACTATACTGTATACCTGAAACTAACATAACACTGTATGTTAACTAATTGGAATTAAAAACCTAAAAAAAGAATTCATGTAAAAAAATGAAAGTGAAATAAAGACATTTTCACAAACAAATACAAAGAGAATTCATGACTGGCAAAGTTTGACTCTAAGGAATCTAAAGTAAGTTCTATAGGCTTCAAGGAAATGATACCATTTGGAAATGCAGATCTACAGAAAAGAATGGAGAATATCAGAAAAAGTAAAGGCATGGATAATAAAAAAAAGCAAAGAAACAAACACTACTTCCCCCTAAATACCTTAAAAAGTAGGTTTTTAAGGTATTTCACTTATTTCATGAGTGAACATATTTCACTTATAATAAAACAAAAATACTTTATTTATATTAAAGCAAAATTTTAACTTTGCAAAATGGGTTTATAACACACATAGATGTAATACATAAAAACAATTATAGCATAAACAACAGGATGTTGGTGGTGAATGGGTCTATATGGTTGCACGTTTCCTGCAATTATGTTAAGTATTACTATATTAACTCTAAGTAGATCTTGGAAAGTTAGGATGTATACTGTAATCCGTAAACCAGCAGCTGGCAAACTACAGCCTGGGGGTGCAATCTGGACCAGCACTTGTTTTTACAGAAAATGTTTACTGAGTCCTGACCTAGAATAATCACTTAAAAATAATAGTTCAAAGAAGTATAGCTAAAAAGCCATTATCTAAATTAAAATGGAGTGTTCAATGCCAAAAGAAGGCACTGAACAACAACAGCACCACCACAAGGGAAGAACAATCATAAAATGGTTGACCGAAGTACAACCAAATTGATAATTACATTAAATGGAAATGGACCAAACACTAATTAAAAGGCAGAGGTTTTTAGAATGAATAAATAAAAAAAAAAGACCCAATTATAAGACACTCACTTTAAATACCAAAACACAGATTGGTTGAAAGTAAATGAATGGAAAAGATAGGCCATACAAACTGCGAGCATAAGTAGGCTGGAGAGACTTACTAATCAAATAAAGCCAGTTTCAAAAACAAACAATATTGGGGCGCCTGGGTGGCTCAGTCATTAAGCATCTGCCTTCGGCTCAGGTCATGATCCCAGGGTCCTGAGATCGAGCCCTGCATCAGGCTCCCTGCTCAGCCAGGAGCCTGCTTCTCCTTCTCCCACTCCCTCTGCTTGTGTTCCTGCTCTCACTATCTCTCTGTGTCAAATAAATAAAAAAAAAAAAATTAAAAAAACCAAAAAACCAAAAAACAAACAAACAGTATTATCAGGAATAAAAAGTATTACCGGAGATATAGAGGAACATTTTGTAAAAATAAAAGGGGGTCAGTTCATCAGGAAGACATAATAATCATAAATGTGAATACTCTAAAAATAGCGTTTCAAAATATATAAAGCAAAATTTGACAAATTTAAAGAAACAGAGAAAAACAAAATCATAGTTGGAGATTTAACACCCCTGATTCATCAACTGAAAGAATATCTAGATTAAAAAAAATCAATAATAGTTATAGTTTTTGTAAGATTTAGAAATCTAAAAACAGTTACCTAGTTTTTATCACCTTAATAACACCATGGATCATGGCCTTTCCTCTTAAGTCAGATCTGCATGTGGATGGAAGGCAAGTATAGGAAACAGAGTTGGCTCATAGACAAATGTATTTTCCTGGTTATCTCGGCAACCAATGTGTTACTGTTTTTCATTTAATACCTGGCTTTAGAATTATGACAATTTAGAGATGTCTCTTTATTTTACACACAGAGAAAATATCATCCAGACAGCTAACTAATTTAATCAAACTATACAGCTATTAGGAGCATGTACTGGAGCAAATGTCAATTTGACCTTCAATATATCTTTCTATTATACAGCACTGCCTGCTTGTCGACAGTTGCATAAATGACTACAGACACTGTGGAGGATCAAACAAATCTTCAGGGCCATCTGGATTTCTTAGATTGATTGATCCTAGCTTCCTTAAGATCTCAAAAGTCTATTCCAGTTCAATCAAGAAGAAGGGGACGACGTAGGTATCATAGAGCTATGTAAACCTCAAAAACTACTATAAACTCATGATTTAATGTCCAACCCATGTCATCCACTAAAGTAAATTTACTCGATTTCTTGCCTTAAGCCATGGTTACAAAATGGTTCTAATGTCTTTTATTTGATTGAGGAAGTCAAACACCACATTTCACATTTATCTACGCATATCTGATAGGCTGCAAATGAAAGTAAAATTCTAAGGAATGTCAACAATATATAAAATGAGTAAGTAATTTTATTTCTCTAGGCCTCCCTTCTCTACTATAAAAAGAATGAACATGATAAGCTTTAAATTTCTCTACCATTGCCACATATTTTAAGCTTTGTATACAGTGTAGCAAAGTGGAAAGAATCTACAGAAACACCATTTGCACTGATATAACAGAAACCCAGAAAGAATGTTCTTTGGGGATGACTTTAATGGATAACACTGTCACAGACAAATTCTTTCCCTGGATATAGTCATTTTTCTCCTTTAGGTCTCTGATATTATAGATTTGACCACTGACAAATATAATGAATGCCATTATGGGAAACAACAGGCAGGGGGCAGCAGATTTCAAAGAGGAACAAGTAAATGCAGGGACATTAGTGACAACTACTATAGCAGAAAAAAACATTTTTCTCTTATCCTTTTCTGACTCTTCAGTTGCCGCCCATTTAAATTATTATCTAATTTTATAACTTTAAATTGTGTATAGATATGTATATGACAAAGCAAGATGTTATTACAAATTATAATTATCATAAAAATCATGATTCTAAATAAAAACAGCAATATATGAAGTGTATGAAAGCTCATACAATTAAGCTTATGTACTCAAAAATTTATATATAGGTACTAGCATATATGTGTGGGTGTACATATGCATATGTGTATCTTTTTGTTTTTGTTTTTACTATTTCTCCCATTTATTAGTGAACGAAGACACTGATCTTTTTTAGTTGCCAAACTTCTGCTTATTTCTGTTCTATGAACATAAAAAAGAACTTGTAGCTACTCAGGGAGAAAACGGTATACTTCTGAAAAGATGTTTTGATGGTAGAAAAATAGCTAGTATTGTATAATCTTAAAAACTCTTAGGAGCAGTGGCATGGCAAAGTATGGTGACACACATACATAGCTCCAATGCTCCAAGGGTTCAAAGAACACTCAAATAGAATTAAAATGGAAGTAGGCAAGGGGCGCCTGGGTGGCTCAGTTGGTTAAGCGACTGCCTTCGGCTCGGGTCATGATCCTGGAGTCCCGGGATCAAGTCCCGCATTGGGCTCCCTGCTCAGCGGGGAGTCTGCTTCTCCCTCTGGCCCTCCCCTCTCTCATGCTCTCTGTATCTCATTCTCTCTCTCAAATAAATAAATAAAATCTTTAAAAAAAATAAAAATAAAAAAAAAATAAAATGGAAGTAGGCAAGAAATTTCTTGATATATTAGCTTTATTCATATTCCATTATATTTATATAGCATCACACCATTTTATTTTGAAATGGATTTTATAGAAAAGTAATCATACCTAGGGTGGAGTGTAACAGTTATCACCACCAGTTTATAAACAGATAGCACTAAGGCGTAGAAGGAGTAATCAACTTGCACAAGTAACACATCTACCTAATGACTGAAAGAAGAAAAGAACTGGTATTCTCTTAGTCTAACGTACTGATAATAATAGTTGTGCCAGAGAATAAAATGAATAAAATTTATTCATAGCTTAATTATTCCTAATTACTTACTGGTTTCCCTTGAACTCCTCTCTCTCCGGGGTTTCCAGTCTTACCCTACATAGGGAAGAAAATGTTTGGGTCACGTAGCTCCCTCACCAAATATTAATCATACACCAAGAAAAACAGGGAAGATTTTATCTATTTATCTTTAATGTGAAATGTTTTACTACTTACAATAAGACCATAAGGCCCTCTTTTTCCTTGATCTCCTTTTTCACCCTAACGGAGTATCAATACCACAGGAGTTAATATGAATGTGAATTATGGTCTTACATGTGCTTGCATATACTCACATACAAGAAAACAGGACATCAAGTATATAATTCAATATTTTAAAAAAATTTCTCTGTGTGTAGTAAAAACTTCCTATATGTTTCATACTTTTACGAAGAGAAAATTTAGAACCATACTTTTGTAAGGAAATATAACAGTTTTAAGTCAGGTAGAACACATATGGGCTCAAAAATCTTAACTGCATATGAAGTGAAAAAAATCAGTATTTACCTTGGCACCTTGTATACCTTGTTCCCCTAAGAGACCATCTGGTCCTCTTGGTCCCTAGGGATGGAAAAAAGTCCTATTGTTAATTTGAAATGTTATTTTTTTTATTGTTATGCATCCTTACAAATGAACACCTTGTGTTCTTCTTGACAAATTCCTTCTGCTTGTTTTTATACCATGACCACAGAAAAGAATACAGCTAGATACAGTTCATATGGATGAACCTATTTGTATGGGATAATCAAGCCTGTGTTTTCAAGATCTATTGCCAAATAATTAATCAGGTGACCTCAAAAACAGCTGATTCAGTCGTTGAGGTGGTTATAATATAGGTTTGTTATTTGAATATTCTGTTCACCTTATTTACTCAGGAGCCATCCACGATCTATTCTAGGAACAACTCTACATTAACTTAAAAGTGGCTAGCTTGTTTGTCCGACAGTCTTCTTAAGTTTTATATTTTTGGAATGGCACTCAGAATGAGTGCTGACTGCATTGTACTCACTACGCACCTGCTTGACAACACGTACTGGAAGGTGGCCAGGGCACAGAAAAGGGACAGAAAATACTGCTGGGAATCTTCATGAAAATGTAAAACTTCTCAGCTAAGTTGTTATCAATATTTAGTCATCAGTTGTGAAGAACTGCTAGTTGCAGAAGTCACTCTCTAATAAAATGATGGTATGTGTCTCCATGCCTAAATAATAACTATCCTTGGAAGATCTTAAAGTCCCTTTCAAAGGAATTAACTCAATTCTACAACACTGACAACACTACAATGTCTACTGTGGAAAAGGTACTGCATTAAGTGTTACGGGGATACATAATTGTAAGAACATTACTCCTTCCTGAAGCTTAAAGAATGGTTAGGTAAATTACACAAATGATGATAATATAGGTTGAGGTAAGGCAGTTTTAAGGCTAAAAGGATTCAAAGGAGGGAGAGAATTTTCACGTTTGTATAAGGAATAAAGGTATCATTTTGACAGTTGGAGATCATGCTCTAAAAGGAACTCTGGACAGAGGGATAGGATGAGAAAAGGGTACAGAGGCAGGAAAGAAGATACCCAAGAATGAAAAAAGTAGTTTGTTTAGCTGGTCTATTGACTACAAGTAGTATTTCTTAGTATTTCTATACTAAGTATTTTCTATGGTAAGAAATAATTACTAAGAAATAATTGTGGAAAGACTGGGACATAAAAGGTGAAAGACTGGAGTTTATATTTAAATCAACAGGTAATGAGGAGGCACTGAAGACTTCTTTTTTTTTAAGATTTTATTTATTTATTTGAGAGAGAGAGAGAGAGAGAGAGAGAGCAAGCAGGGGGGAGGGGCAGACAGAAAGGGAGAAGCAGACTCCCGCTGAGCAGGGAGCCAGACTCAGGGCTCGATCCCAGGACTCTGAGATCATGACCTGAGCCAAAGACAGATGCTTAACCAACTGAACCATCCAGGTGCCCCAAGAAGGCCCTAAAGATTTCTATACAGAATGGTAACAAATTTCCCAATACAACATGCTGATTTGAAGGAATCCCCTAGGCTCCTTCTCTTTTATTCCATCTGAGGTCAGGTTGGTTTAGTTTTACGTTCTTAAAAAACTGCTTGCTGTAATAGGACTCTCTTCCTGGGTACTCTTAGGGTACTGCATTCCCTGATCCTCTTAGGCACATTCAGGGGATTAGAGAGAAGGCTCACACTCCATGAGATCTATAGCTCCACTGGTTATACTAAAGTTAAAGCCATAGCTCTAGCCCTTCAATCTCCGTCTGTATTGAAGGTACTCCATGATCTGGCCCTAACTTCTTTTTCTGCCCTATTTTCCCACAAAAGACTGTAAAACTGAGTTTCAGTCTTATTGTGTAGAACCTTGAATATCAAGTTGAGGAATATGGATTTAATTTAGTAGATAAGAGACTTTTAAAGTGTGTTACTCATTTAACAAACATTTGCTGAGTACCTATTATAAGCCAGTCATTGCTTCAGGCACAGAAGATAGGTAGGGAGAAGAGGACTCATCCCCGAATTCATAAGCAATCAAATAAGTATATAAACTTAATGACAGTGAGTAGTCAAATGTAATGAAGTAAAATAAAGGACCTTATGGGACTAGAGAGAATTCAAGATGGGGAGCCCTATTTTAGACAGGGTAGTGTGAGAAGCCTCTCTAAAATGGCATATGGGCAAGATCATTCCGGCAGAAGAAATAGAAACTACAAAGGTCCTGAGGTGGGCACATGCTTGGAATGATGAACAGTTAAGTAACTGAAGACGAAAACAGGAACAATTATTAAAGGATAACTTCGAAGTTTTAAGTGCAAAGATCCTTCAGGACCTTGTTCTAAACATCACCTTCACCTTAAAAATTCAGCAGCCTATAATGATTCTCTTTCTCTGTCACCTTCTAAACACATTCTCCTCTTTCTGCCCTGTAAGAAAACACTTCACAAAATTTTTTGGAGTTATAACAGAAGGTGGCTGAAGGAGTATGAAAAGGAACGAGTGTCGTCCGGTGACAGCAGCCATACTTGTGATGACAGAGCATAACCTACAAAGCTGGTAAACCACTATGTAATACACCTGAAACTAATGTAACATTGTGTGTCAACTATACTTCAATTAAAAAAAAAAAAGAATACATGGTCAACATTCTTAAACACTGCAGAAAACAAGTGAAATCTAGACTGAAAATGTGTCCATTGGGAATTAGGCACTTAACCCTTTTGCAACCTCAAATCTCCATCTTTCTTGGATATTTTGTTATAATAACTAGTAGAGTGATGACAGCATTAGTAGCAAACAAACTGGAAGTATAGGTTTGCTTGGGTGGAGAGGGAGAGGGAGAATGAGGCGAATACAATGAATGTGATTCTAGACAAATCAACCACAATGAGACAGATATCTCCAAGGCGAGCGCTAGAGAGTGCAAAGTCATTCTGTATAGGTTTATTTATTTTATTTTTTAATTTCTTTTAGATTTTATTTATTTATTCGACAGAGAGAGAGAGAGCACAAACAGGGGAAGCTGTAGGCAGAGGGAGAGGGAGAAGCAGGCTCCCCGCTGAACACGGAGCTGGATGCAGGGCTTAATCCCAGGACCCTGGGATCATGACCTGAGCTGAAGGCAGATGCTTAACCAACTGAGCTACCAAGGTGCCCCCATTTTGTCTAGGTTTAAATGGTAGCATCGATATGGATAAATCTTCAAAAGTCTTCCCAGACACAGAGTTGTAAATTTAGAATTAAAAAAAAAATTGTTAGGTCTAAAGATGGCAAGTCTCTTTCCTTACATAAAATCAGATTAAGTGGCTGCCTGGATATATACATAGAAAAGACTGCATCTAGGTCAGGAGGAAAATCTCATACTCAACGGCCAGTTTCTGCTTCTGAACATAAATCACCTAATGTCAAGACTGAACTAGTGCAAACTCCACTTTTATAATATGAAGAAATGGAAGCTTGCAGATATGAGTTGCCTGATTCATATGATGTCTAAATGTATAAAGACATCAAATAGTTGTGCTTTATTAAGTTTATAATATTTTTTCAAATGTTAAAAAGAAGCAAAGGTTAATCTTGTTAACAAGTGAATTTAGATTGAAATACAGGACCTGAAGTTTAGAGGAGGTTTATAAAAAATGAATATGAAACATTTACAAGTGCTGATTGGCATTATAATTGAAAGGTGCTCCCTCCAAAACTAAGGAATACACATAGTAATGATAATCACTCATTTTATAATGCTTTTGTCAAAATACTTTCACTCTAAATATACTTTCAGATTATTATTTCATTTACTAAACCAGGGAACAAAGAAAGAAATTTCTGCTCTTAAGTTGATGACAAAGATAACCACATTTAGTTTTTGGTTTGTTTTTTTTTTAAAAAAGGTCTAAGTATAGTAATTGTATTAATTAAAGGCTATAAAGCCTAAGGTTGCTGGTTAAGAGGTTAAGGCTGAAAGAACTCTAGGAAAGCTTAATACTCTCTATGTTTCAGTTAAGGCTAAATTAATTAATTAAAAGCTTAGCTTTCTCAGCATCCATAAGTTTCACTCTGATATTGGTTATAAAAGTTACCCCTGGGTTAGTTTATATGCCTTCTTTGACTCCTGAGACAAAATAAGCTTTAGGACAAGCTCTAAGAGAGACCCAACAGCATTATAATAGGCATCTAATTGAGCATAAAGTTATTTTTTTAATACCTGCTTTAAAATATCTGATTATCAGAGTACCTGGGTGGCTCAGTTGGTTTAAGTGTCTGATTCTTGATTTCAGCTCAGGTCATGATCTCAGGCTTGTGAGATGGAGCCCTGCATTGGTCTCCATTCTGGGCATAGAGCCTGCTTACGATTCTCTCTTTCCCTCTCCTTCTGCCCCTTCCCCCCAACTCATGCACATGCAAGCTCAATAAAATAAAATAAAATAATAAAATAAAATAAAATATCCAATTATCTGTAAAGCTCTTGGAGAATGTATGTGAGCTAAATAAAAAATCTGATCTTTTCCTCATCATCTGTAAGAAAAGTTAAAGTTGGCTACAATAAGTGGCTATAAGTAGGTTCTAAAAACTGGAATAAAGTCTGATAGCTCAGCTATATAAATTAAGCATGTTTCATAAAATAACAAGTACTTGAATTGTAGGCAATAATATTAAAGAGTTAACAAAAGTCCTGAATAATCAATAATCCTAGAAGTATTAGATGATAGGAGACAAAACCACTACTTCATATAAATGCTACAATTTAAAAAAAATTATCATTAACTACCACACTAATATAAACTGCACACTAGTTTATGTAGGAAGCTTTTATGAGAATTACAAGGCCATCTCTATAATGCTTGTCATCAATTTTAAAGAGCTAAAGTATCTATGAATGAAAGAAACAACCCTTATTCACAGAACAAATGTCCTTCTAACTTGGATTCAGTATATTTACATTTTCTTTTAACCACATCCATCTGTCTTTGCTTGACACCTCTATTAATTTTAAATTACTCAGATGCCTAACTAATTATGCCTAGCAGTCTGTTCTGGCTCTTGATTGATGTAGCTGGGACAAAATGTTCCCTTAAACAAAAACTAATATTATCTGTGATTTTGTGGGAAAAATCATTTCATTCTATTCTTATTTTTTTTAAAGATTTTGTTTATTTGACAGAGAGAGAGCACAAGTAGGCAGAGAGGCAGGCAGAGGAAGAGGGAAAAGCAGGATCCCCGTTGGGCAAGGAGCCCGATGTGGAACTTGATCCCAGGACCCCGGGATTACGACCTGAGCCAAAGGCAGACACCTAACTGACTGAGCCACCCAGGCACCCCCATTCTATTCTTTTATAAATTTTTTCAGGAGAAGAAACCACACAAAAAGCTCTTCTTTAATACTTGGCGTGACCCAGGTAGTACCCGCATTGAATCTAAATGCAAATGTTGATGGCTGGTTTCCCAATATGATATGCGGTTCCTCGAAGAAGCTGCAATTCAGAATATTTATGGTCATATCTATTCTGCATCTTGCATAGAAAATCTTAAAACATTACATATTTCTAATACAGTTAATTCAATCTTTTTCCTCATGTAAATATTAAGTAGCATAGAATAAAAAATTACTCAGTTGTACGCCTCTATACCCTCCTTCCCGAGAAAGGGTACAAAATCTGAAGTTGCCTAATTATCAAAGGCCCAATCCATGGGCAAGAAAAGAGAGGCTAACTCTGCTCAGTGTGTCATCTCTCCTGTCAGGGCAGCTGGAGACAGGACACAGAAGTACACATTGGAGAGACACCAAAGGATCAGTTACCTAGCCCCAGTGAGTTAAATGTGCACATGAGGGACAGCAACTAAAGTTGTGTTGGTTCCTAGTGACCCAGAAAGGCTAAGCCACCATCTTACTGGTACTGCAGTAGAGAATCTGGTAGCCTAAATTGTCTATATAATGGATATGATTGTATGTATTATATTAATTAGCTTTGGCGTATTAAATTATTTCACTACACTTAAATGACTATTCTTCAGCCAAACTTGGCAGATGAAAAAAAAAAGCTTAGAGTATGTAGGAGAAATAATAATACTTTAAATTTATGCCAAATCTCCCACCTAAGACTCTCAAACCATAAGAATGATACTTTCAACCAATCCTACACTTTTTCAGCTATATAAGAAGCAGGATTATAGAACCTTCACAAAGCAGGTTAGACAGATTTTCATTATATTACTTTATTTAAGTTGTTTTCTGAAATGGCAGATATTGTTGCTTGCCTGAGCTTTTCTTATCCTCTGGATAAGTACCAATATTGTATGATATTTCAAAAGCCACTGGGCTGTAACTAATTAAATAGTAAAACCCATGGGGTCCAGATCTAAAAGATAGTTACCATTGAATCCTCCATGGTATGAGGAGAATGCTTGACAAATTATAAGAAACCAGTAAATGTTAGATAGTTGAATGACAGATGGATGGGCAGGCAGACCCCTAAGAGCGTGTCCTATTAGTGATGATGTTCACATGGCCATGTGATAACCGTGTAAGTCACAGGCAAAACAGTAATAAGTACTGGTTCCATAATAATTATTCTCTGCGTGATCTCAGGGTTAGTGTGCATAGGGCACAGCTTCCTCTCCAGTGTACTATGACACAGCAGTGTGCCATGAAGGGGTTATAGGAATGCTGGGAAGATCAACCCCCTCAGCCTTTGGAGTGGTGGGGAAAAGCTGGAGCACAGGAACCTCCAGCCAGATACATTTTCATTTATCTCAGTGGGGAGACACATGTTCTTTTGTGTGTGTGTGTGTGTGTGTGTGTGTGTGTGATTGAAAAACAGCGGGAAAGATGGACCTAGCATATTGAGATCACATCCATAGTGGACAACAGATTGATAAGAAGACAGTAGAAATAGGAAGATATTACATGACATCTGGAATGGAACTTTCTAATAATATATTCTTAAATATTCTGGTCTTCAGTTCTTTTTTGTATTCTCAATGTTCAGGAATTGCCTGAAACATTCTCCTGCAAAGGAAGTGTTTTTGTACTAAACAAAGCCTTTATTTCTAAATAAGATTTCCTTGTTTAGAAAGTACTGAATGAATTTTAAGTAATTGTGAGAAGCCATTTTGGGAGAGAATCAGTAAAATGTATTTGGAGGATAAGAGGAAAATAGACTATTGAAGAGGTAAAAGTTGAGGACAAAGTCAGAAAAGGATAACAATCTATTGACTGATGAATGGATAAAGAAGAGGTGGTATATTTATACAATGGAATATTACTCAGCCATAAAAAGGAATGAAATCTTGCCATTTGCAACAATGTGGATGGAACTAGAGTATATTACACTAACTGAAATTAATCAGGGAAAGACAAATACCGTATGATTTCACTTATATGTGGAATTTAAGAAACAAAACAGATGAACATAGGGGAAGAGAAGGAAAAACAAGATAAAAACAGAGAGGGAGGCAAACCATAAGAGACCCTTAACTATAGAGAACAGACAGGGTTGCTGGAGGGGAGGTTGGTGGAGAGATGGATTAAATGAGTGATGGGCATTAAGGAGGGCACTTGATGGAATGAACACTGATGTTATACATAACTGATGAATCACTAAATTCTACTCCTGAATCTAATACCACACTATGTTAGTTAGTGTTATGTTAACTAACTTGAATTTAAAGAACATCTTGGAAGAAAAAAAAAGGGAAAACAAAAGGGCAACAATTACCCAGGGTTCATGGGGAAGTTAGAAAATCACGGAGCAAATGAACTTTCCATATGACTCAGGAGAAAACACAAGTGGTTCAGGAGGAGTTCTTGCTTAGGTACATGGCTTCTATAAGCCTTCAATTACTTAATTAACAAAATGTAAAACATAGAAAAAAGTATTTCTGCTTTCTTGCAACTGTCATAAAACTGGTTGAACTTTCTCACTTTGACTAATACAAAGTTGAATAAACACATTGGAACTGACCAAGTACTAAATGCTGGCAGGGTATAGACCACTAAATGACAGTTTGGGTACAGATCATCTACTGTCTTTTTATTTCATTATTTTAAATCTCATTTGGGCTAAAATATAAGTGGCCATCAGGATTATTTATAAATTGTAAATCTATAACCCAGTAAGGAAAATAGTTTTTCAGAAATGAAATAATAATAAAGACAAATTTACTCTCTTTCATCAAATTTCACTTAAAACACAGGACATGAAACTAAAGTTATTATTTCAAACGGCATTCTTAACACTTTTCTCCCATTTGCCAACTGGAAAATGAAGTTTTTGTTTTGTTTTTAACTTTTGTTAGTTGGACACCATGTTTTAAAATATTTTCTTCACTAATTCTAAAAATCAAAGTAAAGCCAAGGGAGAAAGGAGAATTCTTACAGCCCACATATTCAGATTTATCAAGGAAAAAAAAAAAAAAACCTCTTTAGTATTCTGTGTGGTATCAAATAAGCATAGGCTTGGGAGATAGACACACTAAGATTTGAATCCTTGTTTTGTCATTTCTCTCTGTGTGCCTATAGGCCATATACTTAAACTCTCTGAGCTCTGTTTTCCTCGGCTATAATATCTGCGACAATACATCTTCTTTGGGTAGTTCTAAGTATTAAGTAAAATAATAGATGTAAAGGTGCCTGGCATGTGATGCAATAAATTGTGGTTCTTATTTCTTCAAAGAAAAAAAAAAAAGATTTAATGTTTAAAAAACTCAGAGATTGAAAGATTTCTTTTTTTTTTATTAAAGATTTTATTTATTTATTTGACAGAGAGATAGAAGAGCACAAGCAGAGGGAATGGCAGAGGGAGAAGGAGAAGCAGGCTCTGCACTGAGCAGGGAGCCCGATGTGGGACTCAATCCCAGGACCCCAGGATCATGACCTGAGCCGAAGGCAGACGCTTAACCATCTGAGCCACCCAGGCGCCCGAGATTGAAAGATTTCTAATTTAATTCTTATACATAATCACCAAATGATGATGATTATATCACTTCTGATTTATAATTAATAAACAGGCATCCTGTGTTTGTCTTCATTCCACTTCCTTTTGCTCTTACTCTGTCATGATGTTACTATTCCTTGCTATGTAAGTCTCTTGTGAGTAGAAAAATGCTTAATTTAAACATCTTCACCTTTACAATTCTCCCAAAGAATGGAACTGGAAGTTGAAAATGTGAAAGAAGAATTCTATATGAATTAGTAAAATTTGTAAAACATAAAATGGAAAAGTATGGTTTTATGAGTACAAATGATAATAAGTCACACTTCAATTAATGTAGGTAGGTAGTTCATCTAATATAATGAAAACAAGGAAAAAAACCAACAATATCCAAGCACAATCTAGAAGACATAGAACTATTTTTGCTGAACACATCACTATTTATAAAGTCATTTTTTTTTGAGGTTAATGTATTAGATTACTTCCTGCATTAGATAACTTACTCTTTGTCCTTTAGGACCTTGACTCCCAGGTGGTCCTCTTGCCCCCACATGACCCTACACATTGAAAATTTAAAAATTAGTTATAGAATTCACAGGAACATTAGCAAAATAGGAATTATAACCTTTCTTATGACATGTAATACTCCTTGGGAATTCTTAAAATAAAATTAATTAATCTCCTTTAAAATATGCTTTATTTATGAAATAAATGCCATAATTTCTTTCCCCATTATTCTGCTATTCTTCCCTCTCCCAGTATTCCAACTAATTTTCAGGAGGAACACATGGACTCACAGTGGAAAGAGACACCTATTTAGCCAGTCTGAGTAGTCTAATCAGCTTGGTCCATCAAAAAAGTGATGGCTATTGCTGTAAGATTTCTTTCTCATTATTCTAGACATTTATGATAATCCCATCACATAAAAATAGATTTTTTTCCTGTATGATGAAAAATGTCACAAAATACCCCAAATATGCCACAAATAGATGTAATGAAGATTAAGTTGTTACTTATTACTAAGTCAGTTACAATGAATTTTTATACTTGATAGTCTTTAATAAAGAATTAGAAAACAAAATTTATTTATCTATATGACATTAGGTAGATAAAAACAGTGAACTTTCATAGGATCTTAGATCTATTTATTATCTTCTGTGAATAAAAAGACTGGCAACTGTACCAATCTACATCTGTCTTCCTAATTTTAGAAGTCAATAACATGCCTGTCTACGTAACATGCCTGGAAAGTCAGGCCTATCTTCAAAACAGAAGCTTCCCAAAACAGTATAAACCATTTCTTTCTTTTTTTTTTTAAACCATTTCTGATAATAGTTCTGTTTAGGGAATTATTAAGGCTTATCTTTTTCATATTTAAGTTGATAATAATGGCCAAATTTTGATAAGCAAGCTTTATTTCTTTAGAGGCAAGATTTTGTTATCTTTCTCTATATAATAAATGGAGTATTTTTAAAACTCAAGTTTTGGTCAATAAAGATACATTTTCTCTGACTTTTATCTGGTTGTTTGAGAATATTTGCAAATTTCTAAGAAAAATATGTTGTGACTTATTTGTGATTTGTTTACCCAAGCTCACATGTACGCTTGATTACGGACTCTGTTTTCTTATATGTGGTTATTCAAAAGAAAGTTTAAATTTCTTTTTGTTACAGGCTACAGAATTGTACTGATTATTAAAAGTAAATAATAAAGCAAGTAGAGGTGAGGAAGATTAAGATACCATGAAATATTCTAGAGTGTTTTACGTTGAGGAAAGAAGTAGCCTTCATCAGTTTATACATTACTTATTTTGCATAAGAACAAAAAGTATAGTATAACCAAAATCACAGATTTAAATTTTAAATAGACATTCTAGAAGGGAATATAAAGTCTTTACTTACAGGTAATCCCAGTGGACCAATGGGTCCTGGATCCCCAGGAGAACCTGGATATCCCTATAATGAGTAAAAATATGAAAGACATGAAGTCTCTATCATATCTGATTATTTTCATTGAAGACAAACCAGTAAATTATAAATAGTAATAAAAGTGATAATGTAAATAAGATCTCTCTTTCCTATCCAAGATATAAAAGGCCATGGGAAATGTACTACAGTTAGAAATAAGACATGATTACACAGAAGCTGTATATACTTTTATTAGTAACTCTGCCTAGAAAAGAAATTGGCTAAACAGAATCACATATTATGACCTATTGAGAAGAGAATATTCATCTTATCTTTCTGTAGGTTTTGTTATGCTATGAATAGATATATGTTATATCATATAGATTATGAAGCCATTTCATTGTCAGAGACCAGAGAATTCTATAATTAAGGAATGTGAATGTGTAGAAATACTCTACAACCTGTTAAATTTTAGAAGGAACACACCCTTTGTGGCATTAATACTAACTTAGAGAATGTCTTAGTAGGTAGTAATTCCTGAAATTGATTAACCTAATGGGTATATTAAATTTCTTAGTTTACAGCAACTGGACATAGCTAAAAATGATGTCTTAGTAGGTAGTAATTCCTGAAATTGATTAACCTAATGGGTATATTAAATTTCTTAGTCTACAGCAATTGGACATAGCTAAAAATGAAAACTCATAGTGCTTTGCTGATAATACAGAAGTTAAAACTAAAGAATAACTTAGGTAAAATAAACTTGTAGACAGTATTATATGCCACCAGATCTATTACGATATATTTTCTGAAAGCAAGATTCTTTTATTGATATTTTTTTGTTCTAGTTCCTATCATGTTTAGAAACTATTTAATAAACTAAAAAAATAAGATCTATATATAATATTTGTCATCTATTACTACCTTAAAGATGAAAGAGAATAAGATGAATTCTGGATTCTGATGTTTCACATATTATCAAAGAATTACATCAGGACCACAAACTCATGGAAGCATGGCAGTGATAGTATGTGCCATAGAAACTATAAGCTATACATATATTTTTTATTATTATGTTATGTTAATCACCATACAGTACATCATTAGTTTTTGATGTAGTGTTCCATGATTCATTGTTCGCGTATAACACCCAGTGCTCCATTCAATACGTGCCCTCCTTAATCACCAGGCTAACCCACCCCTCTAGAACCCTCAGTTTGTGAAACTATAAGCTATAAAAGAAAAGTAGAATCCTAAGTGAATTTTCTTTTTCATCCATTTCAGTTAATTTATGGTGGGTTAATTCTTCTCTTAAAACTATTGACTCATTTGACCAAGTCATCTGATTTTCATGCTTTGCAGTGCCAATCAGCATGTGAAAGGTAAACTGTTTAAAGGAAAGGAAAATTCTAAAGGAAATACACTGTAAAATAGACATTTTCATTTACTTAAATTCCATTCAAGGCAATTTCACCTCTAGAATTATGATGTTTTTTGGAAACATATTTCAAATCACTGACTCTTACCATAACACCCTTTTCCCCCTGGGGACCTAGTGGACCTGGACTTCCACGTTCTCCCTTTTAAAACAAAGAAAAAAGAAAAACATTAAGGCATGTTAATCAGTCATGACTGAGCTAAGCCTTGACAGGGAAATTGTCAGAATCATAACTTACATGCATATCTCATCCTAGCTGCCGACACTTTTTAATTTACAACTTTTGTATTTTTACCTTAAAGTTGCTAGACTTCTAATACAATAAAAATCCTCAAAATATATTTCAAGGGATAAAGTACTAAAAGTATTTTTATAAGTAGAAATGCTTATCATTTTGAGGCATATGAAATAGGATAGTAAAAGTATCAAAACATATTGTAAGAATTAACTAATTCCTATAACCATTGAACAAAATTTTATTTCTGTAGTCTACCACAATTAAATATAATTAAGATAATCAAATATGCCATAGCAGATTAAAAGAATTAAATTGATTCACATTAAAATTCCCAGGATTGTCATAATCTTAGTGTAGAACATTTGACCTTGCACAGAAGAAAATAAGTCAGAATAAAAACAATTACAAATCTAATTTTTGTAACTGAGCTCATTTTATATTTGTTATATTGTTCTTTTTTATATATTTTTTGAAGATTTTATTTATTTGTCAGAGAGAGAGAGAGAGCGAGTACAGGCAGGGGGAGAGGAAGAGAGAGAAGCAGGCTCCCCACCGAGCAGAGAGTCTGATGCAGAACTTGACCCCAGGACCCCGGGATCATGACTTGAGCCAAAGGCAGGCACCTAACCAACTGAGCCACCCAGGTGTCCCTATTTGTTATATGCTTAATAAAAAATCAGTAAGTATATATTAAGCACTTTCGATGTACTAAGAGTTGGAGAGCTATAACAGAAATTTGACTTAGTCTCAAGTATTTGGAGACATGACATTAACAAACTCTCAAGTATTTGGAGACATGCCGTTAACAAAGGTCAATCAATTAGAAGACAATTAATTGTAAATTGTGTGGTGATTATTATTCTAAGTCTAGGAAGGAAAGAAATCAGGAAAGATTAGAGGAATCTGGCAAGACTTTATGGAGGAGATGAGAATTTGAGTCCTACAGTTTGTCTTTGAATAAGTAGAGGGAATGGGAGAGGATACTGTAAGCAAAAAAAAAAAAAAAACAGTAAGAACAGGAATAGGAACAAGTATGTAATATATGAGACAGTGGAGAGAGAAAGGTTTATATTGGAGAATATTAGAAAATTTGTTGGATGAACTGATTAAGCCAAAATTATGTAGTACTTTGACAGCAATGTAGAGGGGTTAATAGGGTCAGCAGTATGGAGTCAATGATGGTTTTTGAAAATATTTGATCATGACCCATCAAAATTAGTCCATATTTCTATGACGGGGGAAATTTAACATAAACTGATAAGAGTATGTCTTGGTGGGTGGGGCGGGCTTTGGATTGACTATTAGAAAAGATGAATTACATAGAAAAAAACTCTAACTCCTGCTAAAAGATTAGGCATAGAGAATGGAGGAAAAAGGAAAGCAAATATGGATTTTACTTTATTTATTCTGGAAGACTGGAAGAACTGAGATAGGTATAAGGAATACTAATATACATGAAATTATTGGGAAGAGACCAGTAAAATCTGGGAAAATAGTGATAAATTTTAGACATGTTGACTTTGGCTTAAACTAAAATTTTCAGATGGCAATAACTGGAATATTATCTAATTTACTTCTAATCCCAGCTCGACTTAATTACTCACAGAGTAGCCTTATGTAGTGATTGCACAAGACTCTCATGCTTAAAATTTATATCTAGCAAATCAGGTTTTAGTCAAAGACCCAAAGTTTTGGTTTATTGTCTACAAGCCCATTATAAGATTCCATAAAAACAATTTAAAATGCCCTTGGGGTCTCAAGTAAAGAATTACTTTTTATTTTCTGAAAAGACTTTCCTGAATTTGAAACTAAACATGGAAAATCACTCCCAAGGTAATGATTTCTAGGTAATCTTTAAGCAAATTACAATTTCCATTACAATATCCAGGAATACCCATGATTAATTGCATACTGGATTCCAAGTGGAAAGCAAGAGATTGTGACTGAGACTTGGATCAGGTAAAGTGATAACTTAATCCCTTTCAAAACTGCTTCCTTTAGGGGGCTTGCTCTGATAAAGTAGATTTAAAAATGGTCTAGTCATAAATCTAAACCATCAGTTTCATCTTTTCTCTTCAGACCACATCATCACAACTTAAAGAGTAATCTGCCCTTTAAAAATTAGAAACATATAACCTATTAGCCATATTTCAATATATTTAAGATATTCAAGACGGATGATGCATTTTAAGTTATGAGTGATTTCTAATTAACATAAAATACCATATGAATGTCTCTCGTTTGAGTTTAGCCTAGAATTCTTACTATTAAAAAAAAAATGAAAGACATTACCTTTTCACCAATGCTTCCAGTAGTCCCAACTTCTCCAGGTAAACCAGCAGGTCCCTTTTAGAAAAAAATATAACAGAAAACACACATTTTTACTGCATTGCTATTACAGCATCTTGGTTTTAAATCACCTTAATCCATGTTTCTTTTTAACTCATCCTAAATTTTATCTCAGAGTAAAATTCCTCCTAGTATAGATGTCCAGCCTATGACTTCCCATCAAAAAGTAATCTATTCATTCAATCAACAAATACATATGAATGTCTAATATGTGTCAGGCTGAGCTGGTAGGCACTTAGTTTCATATCCAAACACAGTTCCTGTCCTTGTGGAATTTATAATCCAGTGGATGTTATAAAGAACTGTAGTTTTCGTAGCTTCTCGATGTGGATACACCAGCTTAAGTCATTTCTGTGACTTCTTTGAAAATCCCTAATACTAGCACACATCCATTCATTAATTCATTGTCACTCAAGAAATATGTGGTGCCTGCTCCATGCTGGTACTACATTGCTTTGCAGAGATTTTGTTAGCAAGTAAGGCAAACCCAAGCCCTGCTCTCCCACGGCAAGAAGTCTTATAGAGAGACTGAAAACAACTAAATTAAAAAGTAATAATTACAAATCATCACATTGGCTAATATAGGAAACAACTGTGATAACAAGGTAGAGAGTGAAAGAGAAGACCTATGGAGAGATGGTCAGGGTAAACCTCAGGTCTGACATCTAATCTGAAAGCTGAAGAATAAGAAGAGGCCAGTTGGCCAAGAGAAGAAAAGAGGAAGAGTGTTCTAGACAGAGTAAACAACTTGAGTAAAGGAGGAATTTAGTGCGCTGAAAGAAATGAAAGAAGGCAATCAGTAACACTGTTTCAGAGTGAACAAGGCTCAGCATTCATCAACCTTGTCTTTATGGATTCTACTTCAAGCCATATAGAAAACAAAATAACATAGACCAAGCTTTATAATAACAACATAATCTTTCTCATGTCTTCAGTTTTGAAGGCCTTTTCTACTATTGTTTAAAGATGTATGAAGCATTTTCTTTTTCAGTGGCTATACCGTGCTTAAATAGATTATTATATGATAATATAAGTTAGCATATAGAAGGCACCTAAATCATAAAAAAAATTATTTGCTATGTTGAAGCTAATTGAAGTTTTTGCATGGGACATGATTATATCCACATATATTTTTATTATTATTCTTATCAATCTCTCTCTCACTCTACCTACCTACCACTCTACCTACCTACCTCTCTACCTACCTACCTACCTACCCATCTATCTGTCTACTGATAATGGATACACTGACATATGCTATGTACTTCCTGTGTGTCTAATTTAATCCTCACAACAGCCATATTTGGTAATATTATCCTAACGCCCTTACAGACAAGGCAGATGAGTTAAACAGCTTGCTGAGGTGGATGCCTTTAAGTAGTGTGGATGAGTTTAAGTGGCCATTGAGCACTTGAAATGTAGCTGGTCAAAACTGACATGTAAATGTAAAAAGATATTAGATTTTGAAGACACTACAAAAAGAATGAAAAAATCAAATCACTGTTTAAATTGATTACATATTAAAATGATAATGTTTTGGGTATATTGGTTTAAATAAAATGTTACTAAAATCAATTTCATTTGCATCTTTCTACCTTTGTAAATATGGCTACTGAAAAATGTTAAATGACATTTGTGACTGGCCTTATATCTCTATTGGACAGCACAGATCTATATTCTCAAACACTATGCTAATGTTAAGTTATATCCAGTTGGAAGTGACTTAATATATTTCTGTGATTATTGATTTTAAGAGAATTAACACTTTCACTCTGAAACAATGATCAATGGTCAGTTAATCAAATCTGAGAAGAACAATGAAATATAACTATTTGTGAGACAGTAAACAAAATAGCAGAAACTGAACACAGACTAATATTGATCCAGGGAAAAACTCTTTTCCTAACACATATAATCTAGGTAAGTGAATGGAGTAGGCCCATTTGACTTATCCCAATATTGACTATGTGTGCCAGAACAATGTCACCTACAGAACTATTTGGCTTAGCTCATAGCACTTGCTTGCTAATTAATAGAAACTGAATTAGGTACTAAGATTTAAAAATGCAGAGATTTTTATATATAAAGCTTAATAAGATTGTTAGTTTCAGATGACCTAGCAAGCATAGGCAAGCATTTTCAAAGGCAAATCTGGATGGATCTAAGCAGCAGTTGCTACCTAGATGCATTCTTTAGGTCACCACAGCCCATACCAATTGCTCTTGTGTCTTATACCGGACCCATTTCACTACTATATACTACCTGCCTGCTTCCAATAGGGCACTTGAGGTTGTCAGTCCTGATTTGAGTATTAGGAGGTGCAGTCTATCAAAAGGGTATACTTGGATGATAGGTTCTCATTGCAAAATAGGCAGTTCACAGGCTTACATCTTTGCCCACAGGGAATCTTTAATGAAACTTAAATTAGGGGAGCATAAACAATGTATTAAGACTCTGATTCCTCCCAACAGTTTTCTTCAGTTTCTTATATCTATTTTCAAGTTATACACTTCTGGAGAAAATTCTAAATTAATGTTGTTGGAATGATGTACATTTTCCCAAAGGTGAAATGTATAAAATTTCATTCTTATTTCATTAGTTACTGATTATCTACCAGGTATAAAACACTATACTAGTCAATTTAGAAATAACTAATAACTAAAATGCAAAGTAGATAGCAAAAATATTACAAGAAGATAAAGTCTACAGAGTATGGGAAAAAGTAGCAGTCGGCAAACTGTGACCCCAAAGGCTGGCTACCTCTTCTTGTAAGTAAGTTTCACTGAGACACAGCAATGGCCACTTGTTTACCTATTCTCTACAGCTGCCTTTGTCCTCACAAAGGCAGACCTGAGCAGCTGTGACAGAGTCTGTAGGCCCACAGAGCCCAAACCATTTCTCTTGGGGAACTACAAAGCAGTCATTGAAGTTATAGCCTTCATTTATAAGAAAAATCAGCAATTCATACTTTTTTGACCAAGTATTTTCATTTAAAAAGTTTTAAAAACACTGATTCTACGTCTAACACACATTAAGGAAAATGACAAAGCCTAGAGCCAAAACATGCTGTGTGTTAAGAGCTAGACAACTCTACAATAACTGAAAACATTTCACTTTTTATAAAATAGGATATGTAATAGTCTATTTATAGATTTCGTTAGCTAAAGCAGAAATTCAGAAGGCCAAAAAGCTTTATGTATAATAAATCACTTGTTAGAACTGAAAAGAAGTATTATTTTTTTTCTAAAAGTCAGTAAAAACTCTAAAATACACTAGTTCTATTTTTTTTAAAGTAACCACATCCTTCTTATTCACTAAAGACTAATGTAAAATTAGAGTATTTCCTAGTTGAAACTAAAATGTTTAAAAATTTTTTTATATAAAGTTCTTAGACTTGACAACTCTGCTTTAACTGTGGTTTAGAATCTATCTATATTGTTTCAAATTTTCTTTTCAGTGCAGAAACAACTGCAGTTACAAGATTAAAAAAAAAAAATCTCAGACCCCAAAGCTCTTTAAATTCACTCGAAAATGGAGTATTATAAGGCGAATTCTCTAGGATGTAGCTCTGCTTTACCTTAGAAACATATCAGCTTCAATGTTTGTATTCATTAGTGTTATTATATTTACTCTCTTTAAAAATAAAAATTTTAGAAGTCATCTTACCACAGTAAAAGTACTATTTGGTTGTACTAAATGAAATTGCTGATATTTGGCATTTTTTTTAACCTTAAACATTGGTAATTTTACATGATTCAATCTAGTATAAAATTTTGAGGGTAGAAGAAACAGAAGAGTGGCCAGACATGAGAAAATGACAACTCTAAGCACTACATGGGAAAATATACTTCCATATCTATTATTAAGTTCTCCACCTAAAGATCTCATACCTTCACATGTTTGTTGAAGATACTAAAAATACAGACTGTTGTCAGTCTAGACAGATATAGGGAAGACACAGAAAAGTAGAAATAAAGTGTGTGTAATCTATGTGGGTAAGAAAGAGAAATTCATTTTTAGATAAGATGACTACGAGATATATATTGGACATTTTGGTAGGAATATTCACAACACAATTGAGTATACAGGTCTAGAGCTAAGGAAAGATATACGTGAACCATCAACAAAAAGACAGTAAAGAGTAGATGCATCACCAGAGAGTACGTGTCCTGAGAAAAGGAAAGGCCAAGAACAATAACATTTAGAAGGCAGGATGAAAAAAAGAAAACTTATGGAATTGACTATATAAAGAAAGTGTACTGTCAAAAGGAGGATACTGTCAGGGCGCCTGGGTGGCTCAGTCAGTTAAGCATCTGATTTCAGCTCAAGTCATGATCTCAGGGTCGTGAGATCAAGCTCTGTGTTGGCCTTGCACTCAGCACATTGTCTGGTTGTCCCTCTCCCTCTGTTCTTCCCCATGCTTGAGCACGCTCTCTCTCTCAAATAAATACATAAAATCTTAAACAAACAAACAAACAAAAGGAGGATATTGTCTATTTATTTATTTTTGTCCATAATGTTTCTTCAGACCTTTCATTTAGGGGTAATTTTATGACTTGACAAACATGAATGGACCTTTTCTGTTTATTTGGAAATACATCATTATTCCTAAAAGGCTAACCTTTGGATCACTTCACCCCTATTTTCAAATGAAATCTATAAGCTAAGGATATATTTGTTGGACAGTGTGACTTGGACTAAGCAACTTCAGCTCATTGTGCCTCATCCTTTACCATTCAGGAAGATGTAACCTCAAGTTCATTAGTCTGCATGTTCTATAAAGCAAGGATAATGTCTTATCTGATACTATATCCCTTATACCTGGCATACTTCCTGGAATATAGAACATAATTACTAAATACATGTTGAGTGAATGAGTCAACAAATTAGATGGAGCGTAGTGGTGGAAACATAGATGAGCTGCCCACATCACCAGCAGAGATGCTTCAGCAGTAAGGCCTACATCCAAAGACTAACTAAAGTGAGGGTATAAAGGC